CATATACCTTACCTGTCCTGATGCTTTTCTATGTTTCCACTACTTATCAACAATTTATGCGCAATATTTTGGCTGCCTCTTTTACTTGGGTAATTTTTATAGATTTATTATAATCCTCGTATATAGTATGGAAATATTCTAAAATCTTATTGTATATGACTTATTTTCACCTTCTGTATTTAAATTTCGGTCCTAATTTGTTTGACACTTTTGTTGACCTTAACGCTTACATTCTTCTCATGAATATAGTAATGCTGCATAGATTTAATTCAAAAACTGAGTTATATTTATTCTATATATTATTTTTTAGGTTTCCTGAAAATTACTGTTAATTTATACTATTAAATTCTGAGCCTATTATCCACAGATCAGCATTTACTCTCTTGTTTATATAAAATATTCGCCTCCGGTATTTTAAACATCAATTGCCCTATATGATTTTGTAAGTATTTAAATATATCAGCTACATTGGCAAAATTATTTTTATCAGTAAGCAATAAAATCCTTTTATACTACATCCGCATTTATTTCAAAATTGTCCCTTTAATTGTGCCTAAAAGTTAGATTTTTTCTATTCACATACTTGCATTCTCTGGCCACTTTTAACAATTCCCATGGGCAAAAAATTTATTGTTCACCAGTTTACAGGTGTATGTGAGAGAACCCTAAACCTTCTTTCAAATAATTCCACGCTTACTAATAGCTTACAGCCTGCATAAAAGAGATCTTAATTGATATGACTACAGTAGATTAAATACTTTACTTGAGGAAAAATAATAAAGGTTACTTCAATAATCGCTTAATGGTTAGCTTTCGAACCTTAATCTGCTCTCCCTGTAACAAACAAATCTATATATACCTTACGTATTAGTATAACGTTTCTTGGATGAAAACCCAACTACGGATAAAGGTCTGCAATTTTTTTATGCCTATTTTTAGTGTTTCTTAACCTTTGAAACTGACTTCAGCATGTGATAATTCTTTATCTATTATTATCCGTCATATCTACTGATTTAAACAATCTATTAATTTGCCTATTTACAGAATACTACTATTTCTTTATCTTTTGCTTATTTTTAAATATTTTCTTCGTTTTATGCATAGTCTATTTTGAAACACAAAGTGCAAAGCTTTATCGATTTGTGTAAGGTTTTCTCAAGACTCACAGTACTAGATAAATCCCAATTTCAAGATCTTACACTTTCAAACTTGCCTAAAAATCCTGCTAGCATTTTGCTGTATATTTTTATGAACTGCTCATTTACATAAGATTTGTAAAAAGCATGCGAAACAGGATTCCGATGAGATAAATGAAGGATATAGCCTAGCATCTATGCATTAAGACTTTTTGTGTCCCATAGCGGACTATATTAACATAAAGCTGAGGAATTAAATAGGGACTTGATATATGCCTTTTGCTTGCCATTTATTATTCTCTATCAACCATCATAATAAAGTTTTTGAGAATTGGTGTTTTACTCATAATTATTTAGATATATTAATGATAGTCAAACTAGTTGCTAGATATAGGGTTTTAATTAAATAGTATAGAATTTTCAAGACCTTGTTCCTCCGTTACCTCCAGCTGCGACATTCCTCGGCCTCTTCGAAGTCTTTTGCAGCCTGGAAAATCACGACGCACCAGGCGCAACCAACCAAGACCACTACCTGCTGTAAGTCGTGCTTGTAGCTCGACTTCTTGGCAAATTAGTCGTTGGGAGACGATGCCCTTATTTGTCTCAGCGGTTGGTGATCTTCGTAATATTAACACCAATTCCATCACAGCCTCTGTCTCTGGTACCAGCCTAGACACCTCTAATCAACACATAATCGAGAAAGCGCTGCCTAAGGAGACAAATACGATGGCAACTTCAACACTGTTGCGTCTGACTAAACGGCAAACTGCCTGTCATGGAAGGCCAGCTGGGCATATGCCGATGCCCTTTACTATTGATACAACTGAACAGCAAGATAAACCCCTAAGTTATATCTCGATTGCTTCGCCAACCCCACCATTATCATTATTATCCCCTTCTTCTGGTCATTTTGAGCCGAATCAGGAGTTCAATCCGTCTGTGCAGAATCTTTCAATAATAACAGGGGAGATACAACATGATGGATCTAGCCCCAGCTTTTCTGAAATATGTGAGAACAGCCTGGAGTCAAAAAAGGATAGAAGACTAAGTCATACTGATCTACGGCTTTCATTAAAGTCAGATATTTTATGTAATGCCCAACCTGAAGTACTGGACAAGCTAATTAACCGTTCAGAAAAGTGTTTGCAAAGAAGTTCTCACCAATTGGAGCCCTTAACAGAGGCAGGTAGATTAAAGCCACTGAGATGCATACATATTTAAAGAATATATATGCATACGTACATGAATGCATACATAAATATATATATCATTAGCATTCATTCTTCTTAAGTAACCAATATTCGTTCTAAAGTCAGCCAGGATGCAACAACAACTATTATTTCTTGTTGAGGCGATCTTCATTGCGTATGAAAGTGCATGGAGAAGAGATTAGTAAGTTGATCTCACCAGAAGACGACGGCTGAATCCCGTTGTACTGCAGCCATTCTGGCTGTGTTCAGGGTAACGCAGTCCACGTGACACTCATTCGCTTCGTATGAAAACTAGCTGAGCTGTCGTCGATCATATTATAGACCTCATCAGAGCTGAAACTAATTCTTGTAAAAGTCTCAAGTTCACACTTGATCAATAAGACTATCCGGCTCTATCTTACCTCTTCTATATACTCACAACTGAAAAGGAAAATGAATAGGTATAGATAGATATAGGAATGTTAGGCTAATTATTTTGCGTACTAGTCCTGCTGCTTTTGCTCTTTTGTTTGTGTTAGTGTGTTGACGTCTCTACACAATACCGGTCCTAAATCAGAATGATCAAAAAAGGTTAATGTTATGTTCTGGTCATCAAGGCTTAATAACTCAATAAAAAGCCCTGACCGAGACTGCGTATGTCTGTAAGCAAGTATTATTGAGATAATGAGATGTAAGCTTGTAAGTGTGTAAGTCAAGTCACGAAATCACTTGTCCTAACCTTCCAGTCTAGGGCCATTAAGGTTTAACCAGCCAGGGAAAGGCATGACTGGGGCTGCGTAGTCTCGTAGGTCTGGGTTGGTTGATGAGCTTAATCTTGCATGTTGGAAAAGTGTGAGGGAAGTTAGGACCATCATTGAGCAGACAAGTTGAGTTACCTTCTTTTGGATAATGGCTCAACATTATCTCTCAACTTCAATCTATCAATCAAGCATGACTAGTTCTTTCACAACTTTCTACCACCGTTCCTCACATTTAACATATTTTCTAATTTATTAATTTCAATAGCTTCTCTTATCTTCCTTTTACTAACAGACGTACCATAATTAGCAAATCTACTTGTTTGAAACCATTTCATCTCATGTTAATTCTCTGATATGCGCTTGACCACTTATGACCGTTGGACCCAGCTTCCTTTACAAGCATTTTTGTGCTTCCCTAGTCCCTGTCGAATTGGCCTGGATGTCTCACCAGCATAATGCCGATCATAGGAGTACACAATCTGTTGGCATCCGTATCTCGATAATGGGTCATCTTTCTCCCTAAAAAATGGCATATGTAAAGAAACTGTGAGGGTTTCTTTAAACGCCATCTTTGTTCTCCATTTTCTCACAGTTCTCCTGTCTTTTTTTGAAAGAAGGCAAGACGGCAAAATCAGGACACGAGAAAAGATTTCCACTCGCCGACACTTGAATAACTTGTATCGGTCTGAAAATTTATTCCTCAGTGATGAGATATTATTAACAATTAGGCCCAATGGATTATTCTTTTTCAGGAATAAACATTTCCGGGGTCCCAACTCATTAATCAAATTGTTGCTATGCCCTAGTCTCATACTTCTAATATGCCTTAATTTCAAAATTCTAACCTTAGTTTTGTTGGAAAGAAAAATCAGAATAGAGCCAACAACCATTGGTTTCGTATAAACATCTCTTCCTAACTTACACTTTCCTCTAATGATCACAACATCCCAAAAGGGTAAGGACCTATCCTCTTCTATTTCCATCGTCAACCTAATGTTCCTGATCTGATGCTAACATGAGACCTTTACAATAATGATACTCAGCTTTGATGATGTCCATTATATGATAGACGAAAGCTCCGACCATTTTCACCCGAAGCGAGGGAGGATGTCAAGTGAACTGAGTCAACATGAATGTCGTATTGAAGTCAAACGGCTGGAGTACAACGAGATTAAGCCGTCGTCTTCTGGTAAAATCAATCTGCGAATCTCTTCGCCCTGCACTTTCTTACGAAATGAAGTTCTAAGCAGCAATATTATGTCAGGAGATGCAAAAAAACCTAGTTACGCTTAGTATATACAACTATTGTTTGGCATTTCCTTTATCATTACTCGTAGCTTAAAAATTTCTATCTTTTTTAATTATAAATTATTATATAGTCTTAGCTTGGATTTGTTAGGATTTTTCATCTACTTTACATAGAACGTAAGAATCAACATATTTAGAATGGAATCATATATTTTAACTACTAATATGCTAATTAATATCATTTTCACAATATAGGCAGCGCCTTTTCACATTTATTAAGCGTAATATTAATCACAGATAAGTATCTAGACTATCTAAAAGTACATATAATGCAAGATTATTGATTAAAAAGACAGAAACTCTGTTATTGACAGAAGGGATAAGTTATATAGAAGGTTACATAGGCTTTACGACAATGAGCAACTTCTCTAAGGATCTTAATTTGGAGGGGTCATAGCTACTTATTTTGCTTCATATGATTTAAGAAAGGTTTTATAAATAAGAGGCAAAACCATATTAAAGAACCTCAACAATTCATTTATTTGATAAAATTATGAAAAATTAAGCTTTTATCAGGGTATACTCAAAGCGGAATGGTCTGTAGCAGTTATAGGGAATAAATTAAAGAAATAAGGACCTTTTGCTACAGATAATTTAAAGATTGATATTACAATTATTCCCCCATATGCTATAAACAGGCTTTACCATGCCAGTAAATTTCACCTTGACTTACCTCCTGGGAGGTTTAAACATCAAAACTGGACTGCAGTTTCGACCTCGTCTAATAAGTCTCATCAGCGCCCCCAGTGAGATTCGAAATCGGGTTGTGAATATCGTGGCCACGTTAATACTTTACTATATAGCCATCAATGCTAATGGGTTATAGGGCATTATCACATTCAGTTCAAGCTGGGCTCTATTAATTAAGATTAATATTGGAATTTTAGGATTGAGACTATCTCTGGACTATCTGTCAAGTTTCAACCAGTTTTGATTTTTTTCCAATCATTTTTTTCTTTTGCAAAATCATCCAACATTTGCATGATCAGAGGTTCTTTTATCACAAGAATGTCAAAACAAGGACCAGATTGATTTGATAAGCGTGAGAATGAGACACAGCCGTCACATTTATCAGTTCTCTAAATATCCTTTATCTAATAAATGTGAATTCTTAGTCTGATTTGAGTCCATTATTGTTTTGCTGCTGGAAAACTTTCTATATCTGTATTTTGAGAAAGGCATTAGTGTTCTGAGTAAAAGGAAATAATTTTCTCGATTTGCTCATTTCTAGTTTTATCACAATTTTTTAGAAATCTACACCTTCAATTGAAGCTTTTACCATTTTCTGTTTTTATTTTCAAACTAATGTTGCATTGAGATTTAAGCGCTGGCCATGTTATGGCTACAGCCCCTTGGATATTATTAAATCATTTCTGTTAGGGGCTTATTAGGTCCTTCAAACATTTGCTTCGGGATAACAATGTGAAAGACCATGATTTGCAGGCATGTCAACTAAAATTTGTGTCACAAGCTATCTTATGCTTTACGGAATTATATTATTAATATTTTCCTTTTTGAGGCAAATACTGCATGAGACGACTCCTTCACATGATTACTTTTAACCCTAGCAGCATCATACTCTTTAGCCGCTTGTTTCTTTGCCTTCTGAGAAGTTCCACTGTCCTGGAGAATATTCATTTTGACTAAAATCAAGCCAATAAACAACCAGCTATTCCCGTAGACTCGAGTAAAAAGCTGGAATCCTGGCTACTCATCTGTTTTCTTGTTCCTATGTGTGCTTGCCTTTCTATTGGCTATAAAACTATATTCTGCTCAAAGTGGTCGTTGTTTCTGCCAGGCAACAGTGAAGGCGATAACCCACATGAATTGGTTTATGATTTTGCTTTAGAGAAAAGTTGACCTACTTTGCTGCAACCTATGCTGCCAGAATGCGACCAGCTAATTCGGAATAACTTCTCGCCTTTTGCATCTGTATGGTGTAGATGCTGGTGTATGCTGTACGTCAAGTAGTGAAACTAATTTAATCTTCTCGTCAGCCTGTAGGTAATACTAAAAGTTAGCGTGGAACATGCATTTCTATTTCGCTTCTGGTGCTATTTAACCTGATGACTACATGAAGTTATTAATAGCTAGCGGTTTTTATGTGAAATTCCAAGTATGAAACAGGTCTTCAATTGAGCGTGATCTGCAATGTGGGCTCAAGCCTGCGCTATAATTTATCTTGGGAAAAACCGTCATTTTTCCAAATAACATAATACAACATTTGCTGAATCTCGTCGACAATTATTAAGTCTTTCGTATTAGGAAATAATCTCAGGCACCTTTTCAGATATTCTTCGTTAATAAGATCTTAATTGAAGCGTAGGTCTGTCCACTCTCTACAATCCTAAGCCCGTATAGGAGCTGAAGTGACAACGAGGTTTCGATTTAAAAACGAGATAATAAATTATCTAGAAGCATTTCCATTCAGTCTAAATTCTTCTTAGTGAAAGATGTACAAACACTACAAAGTATCTACACACGATTATTTACATCTCCAGTTCTCAAGTAACATAATTTTCAGTTTCAGATTGGCTCAGCAATATCCAGCGTCCCTGTCTTTTCGTAGACAATCGGAAGTTGTTCAGTGAATACTCGTCCCTGAAGTATCATTCTCCTCCTCTCAGCCTCATCGAAAGCAATGGGTCCGTCACTTTACTGGCCAGCAATGCCATGCATGACCGAAACGACGCAGATAAAACGGATGATAATTCAGATAGCCCCTCGTCACAAAGTGACCTGAGAAGCAGCATGCCCATTTGCCACAAGGACAGCCGCTTGAAACGAAGTGGAAATGCTTCTTCAGTCGGAGAGCCAGGGTGTGATGTGCCCACGCTTTCACGGCCGGTTGGACAGGAACTTGATCATGTCGTAGGATTTGCGGAAGAGTTGGTTATGCACGATACACCCAATACTGAAGTGCCTGGTCGGCCTTGTCATCGGAGGAAGGAATATGATACGATTGAAGCTGAGCCTTTATCGCAATTGGAAGGCGAACATTTTAGCAAAAACTGTACTCCTTGTGGCAATTTCAGGCATGAGATCAAGCGGCGGGATGTAGATAGCCCCATATCTGACAGGATCTGGAAGGAAAGAGGTGGATTAGGTGAAAACGGGCATGGAGACGGCGACACTGCAGGAGGAACTACCAACAGTGTTGATTACGGTGGCAGCGGTGGCAACGGGGGAGGTGGGGGTGCTGGTGGTGGTGGTGGTGGTGGTGGCGAAACAGGAGAATCTGCCAACGGAGGCAGTTCTGGTGGTGGTGGTGGAGGTGGTGGCTTGGGTGAAGGTAGTGGAGGTTTGGGCGGAGGATGCGCTGGTCACGGAGGCTGTGGCGGTTGCGGAGGCAACGGCAGGAGAGGCGGCGGCAGAGGTTCTGGCAGCCGTGGTGATTACGTCGGTAGCGGTGGTACCGGTGGAAGCAGTGAAGGAGGCAGTGGAGGCGGCAGTTCTCAGGACGCCGGCTACAATATGAGCACCAGTGACCTAGGCCGGGCATTCAACCAAAATGATGCCGTTTCTGCAGATGCTGCCACAGCGCTAGCAGATCACGTGTACCGGGCCGACGAACTGTTGCCCCGACAATACACACACGCAGTCTCCTCTAGACAGTTCGACTTGACGGCCGATGCATTCGGCGGTGGTGCAACCACAAGTAACACAAACGACTGGAGCAGTGTCTCCTCCTCCGAGTGGGGAGACGACATGTGTGTGAGTTGAATGGGCATACTGCTCATTAGATGGTTAATATGGTTTCATCGAAGGTGTGAAGACCGAGATGGTGTGGCCCTGTGTGTGGTCGCAGTCTCCTTTCGTTGCATAGAAGTTGTCTGACCTTGTTTTCGCAACTCGGTCATATTGGTATGAGGACTTAGAGGAATGCACCTAGTCCGGAGTCCATTGTATGCATCATCATTTCCAGAGTAGGACCGTGAACGTGAGTCTTGCCATTCATAGCAACACACAACAACTCGTCAAATAGACAAGACGAGTTGTTGTGTGGTGCTAGGAATGGCGAGACTCATTGACGATGCCAACGAAACGTCTGGGAATGTACCACGTCCATGAACCTAATCTGGAAATGATGATGCATACAATGGACTCCAAACAAGGTGCATTCCTCTAAGTCCTCATACCAATATGACCGAGTTGTGAAAACAAGGTTAAACAACTTTAATATGGTTTTATGTTTGTATAAGGTGGGTCCAGAAACTACCAGTACGTCTTGAATAAGGGTTCCGGTCACTCTAGATTGAAGAGGGTGATGACGGACTGATAATTACATTTTTCATTTGTAAGCAGGGTTTCAAGACTACCAATAAATCAGATGCATGAGATGTGTTTACCATATTTAAGTTAAGGTGATAAAGGGAGAATGTTAAGAGTGGGAAAATTCAACTTGAACGAGATAGGGTAATACATTTCATATAACTGAATTACTAGTAGTCTTGAAAGCCGAAAAGTAAGTAATGTAGCTGATTGCTGTAGCAAATATAACTTTGCATCATCGTAAATCCCACCACATAATAGGATTTGAGAAAATGGCTGACCTTTCTGCTCTGATAACCCAAGGGCACTTGTTGCTATGTGGCATAGTTGTTAACGTGTTGAGATCATATGCTGTATTTTCCTGCATCGAGTCCTACTGATGGTGCCAATAAGACGTAGGCGAATTCGAAACTGCAGTTCACTCTTGATAAGAATACTTGTTGTGAAAGCAAGGCTATGTGAAATTCAATGTAAAGCGTAATGTCTACGCTTGATATTGTGCTAAAATTTAACTACCAGTCCTTCATCGCCTTGCAGGAAATAGGGTGAACACATCTAATATGGTTGAAGTTTCCTATAATGACATTAGTATAGTGATATGTTTTATGTGCGAATAAAAGCTGGGTTTCGAGGAATTTCCGGTTTCATAATTGTTGAGTTCACTTTCATTTCGAGTGGAAGTATTGGTTGAAGAGATTCGATGGTCTGTTTCTCTTGACCAGCTGTCGATTGGCTTTACTGGCAAATTCATACTGACGCTGTTTCCGAGACAATCTCCTTCGATTCCGGTGAAAATATGCTAAGCTCTCGTCCGTCAAATGACGAACATCATCAGAGCAAGGTATCATCGTCACAACAAAATGCAAGCTAACGAGTCAAGAAAACTGACCGGCAAATCCCTAAAAAGTGGTATATATACTCTACATCTGGCCGCTTTGATCAAGTATAAAGTGATTTGGTTAGTCAAGGTCATATGTCAACTTCTATGCATGTGAGTGTGTCTGTCTCTGTATTTGTATGTGCATGTTTGTGTTCAATTATGCACGAAACCCAAAATGATGGCTCAAAGTAATTAAGACAGCAGAAAGGAACGTCTGTTTTTGGCCATCAAGATTTAATGACCCCTTTATACATTTAAGTTGTAACCATCACTCCGATTGCGCAAGGTCGAACACGTATGGTTTTGTTGATGAGCCTTTTTTTGTTTTCGGTCTCAATGCGAGAGAGAGAAAGTGAGCTAAAAGTACAGAGAAGTGACTATGATTAGAAGCAAGACAAGAAAAGACTGAGATGTATTCACCCTATTTCGTGTAAGGTGATGAAGGACTGGTAGTAGAATTTTCCCACAATGAT